GAAACTAGAAACCTCGCATTCCACAATCTTTCTCAGGCTTCTTGAACCTATTAATATACCACTTACTGAAATCATACAGCATTAAAGAACAGCAYTTGACCATAACATCAGTTATAACTTCAATTACTCTAAATATCTATCTTTATTTTATTTTATTTTTACACAAAACAATGCCTTTATTTATTTATTTTATGTGGTGCTGAGGATGGAACCTGGGTCCCGCCCGTGCTAGGCGAGCACTCTACCGCTGAGCCACAATCCCAGCCCCTAAATATCTATCTTTAAAGCAGAAAATCTTATTTCTTTTATTACTAACCCCATTTAATTAAACCAACTTTTCATTCATCTTCAAGTTTTAAAATATAATAACATTAAATTACAAAGAAAAATATATTCCAAGTGTTCTATCTCTTAAGCAGACTCAGTGGCAATAAAATAGGATCTCACCATATCCATGTCAGCCTTTTCAAATTCTTGTTTTTCCTTCCTCAGYTTCTCAGCATGCATCAGCTCCATCCTGAAGTACTACAGAAGAGAAATAATGGCCTGAAAATCTTTAGAGATACTTTCTTAAATTCAAGATATATAATACACCTTGTTTTTATGCATAATTTTCAGATGTGAGAAAATCTAGGAGTATTATATTTTCCTTTGTTAACAAACTAGCTAACATTGTCAAGGTAAAGTGAAAATATTATTTTATGCTATTCTAAAAGCAATCTAGAGGTATGAATCAAAAACTTTAAAAATGCTGTTATATCCTTGGTTATCACTTCACAATTAAACAAACCATAAAGTCTAGCCCTAAATTGTCAAAAGAAGCAATAAACACACTCAATATCCTTAATCCAGTTAAGAATATAAGTTTTAATCTAATATTGAAGGTTTCTGTGARTAATTTTACTTATGATTTCATCCATGTATATGAAAAGTGTCAACAGAGGCCAAGTAAGGAATTTGGACTTCTATCCTCTTCAGTCTTCCTCTCCTCTATTTAGCAGTAAATAGGCAGAACAGTATCAAAAGAGTTCTACTATCCGGGAGCAGTGGCACATGCCWGTAATCCCAGCTGCTCAGGAGGCTGARATAGGAGGATCACGAGTTCAAAGCCAGCTTCAGCAAAAAAGCAAGGTGCTAAGCAACTMRGTGAGACCCTCCCTGTCTCTAAATAAAATTGAAAAGGTCTGGGGATATAGCCCAGTGGTTAAGTGCCCCAGGGTTCAATTTCTAGTACCAAGAAGAAGAAAAAAGTTCTACTAGCCAGAAAATTTAACTCCCAGAGTCTCATAAAATAACCAAAAGGCCTAAAATCAATCATAAAAAGAACCAGGAGGGGCTGGGGTTGTGGCTCAGTGGTAGAGCGCTCACCTCACATGTGTGAAGCACTAGGTTCAATCCTCAGCACCACATAAAAATAAATAAATAAATAAAGGTATTGTGTCTGTCTAAAATTA